GAAAACTTTATTTGAAAACTTTAATTTATCTTAAAAAGCACCAAAGTACAAACCGGGCGAAAAGCCATTTAGGCGCCGAGTGAGTGTACTTAAAAACTTTTAGCCAATCTTAAAGTTTAAAAGTGTTTATGACATGCTAAATTTATAATAATAAATTGTTAGATTATTGTATGTATTTTGCGTTGTATAACAAGTTTTGTAGAGTGAAATTAAATAAGAGAAGTTGGTTAAAACTTTATTAAATGAAATTTATAGAGATGAAAAGAATAATTGAATCATCTTATTAGCCAACGTAAATTCTATTACTAAAATATTGTTTTTATGCAAGTATGAAATAAAAAAAAATACAATTAAAGTTCTTGAAAACAAGTTAATTAAAAAACCAACCCCATATGTTGGGTTCTGTCACTGGATAGCCTCCCACCTCTCATACAACATCACCGTTTTTATTTTATATTATTATTTATCTCTGTATATATAACAATGTTACTATTTGCTTATTATGCCCCTTGCAGCATAGATTGTAAATATTCTTTAATAAAAAAAAAATGTTTTTTTTTTTTAATGACTTCTATTAAAAGATGACAATTTAAAAACAAAGCTAATCATTATATTTTGTTTGTTATATTATATATACTATAAAATTATAGTAGATTTATAATAATATATAATAGATACACATTATATAAGTGTATTACAATATTGAAAATGATCATAATGAGACGGAGTGAAGATAGCTATATGCCTGTATATTTTCATATAATGTAAAATGTGCATACTATTAAAAGCATACGATAAATTGATGCTATTAATAATTTTGTGGGGTTTTCATTCAGCACGCTCCTAATGCACGCTGATAATGATTCAGTTGATAATTTGTTGCGAGTTTTGGTTTTTTATTTAAACTAGTGGCACTGAAAATTCTTTCCACACATGCACTGCTGTGTAGGAGAATTAAAACAAAAGAAACAAATTTCGTCAATAACGGACATGTATAATTTTATTATGTCCATCATTTATAGTCACGATAACTTTCCAGAATTCAGTTAAATCTAATTTAAAACTTAAGTCCATTGTCCATTGTCCACTCTCTATCAATATCATTGTGTTCAATATTTAATTTGTGTTCATATTATGAGACAACTTGATGACCCATAGAACTATGAAATTTTGTATTTCAGATGGATTTCAGAATGAAAGTTGTTTTAGAAAAATTATATGTTGGTTGATGATGAAATGGAAGTCTTTGAAATATTTTTTGGTAAGAACATTCAACGTAAAAATTCAGACAATTTGTGTAGAAAATGTTTTTTTTCTGAGACTGACACTGAAATCGTTCCCAGAAGTATTCGTAAAGTAAAACAAATACTGGGCAGTGTTGACTGTTGTAGGAAACCACTGTCCAAAAATGTACGGGATAGAATTTTTCTCAGTCTTGTAAGAATATTATTATAATGAAATCGTTTATGTTCCAGTAATTCCGTATTGTGTCATAAGCGTTACAATATTAATTAACTATATTTTTAAACAAAAATATCGATTTACAAAAAATACGGTACTCTTTGTTTGGCAGACACAATGGATATGTTCGTCATAGTAACGTTTTTATATAATTATTGAGCCTGTAGCGGTCACGATGACGCGTGAGCGCTAACGCGAATAAATGAGCTCAATTAATATAAAAAGAGTAGATAATAACAAAAAGATTTATTTTGATTAACAAAAAAATGTAGTAAGCAGAAAAGCGCAGAAAGTTCTCGGACGTCTATACTCGGTGGCGTCGTTGAGAGAAGAGGTCGATGGCCGGAGGACGGTCCCGTTGCACGCTGTCGATGGTAGTGGGCGCTTGAGCGGTGTGACCAACCGTCTTCACGGGGCCTGCCGCCACCGGGGAGAAATTATGTGGTGGTGCGCCGCCACATTACTCCCCCCCGGCAAAGAAGAAAAAACAGACCCGTTTGTTTTTGATGTCGGAGGGTGATTGATCGATCGCATCGCATAAGAGTGGTCGGTGAGTGGATCGTCGCGTAAAATGAAAGCCGGCTTAAGTCGGTCCACGGAGATCCAGGACGTCCGGTTGCCGAGCTGCAGCTTGAAATCCTTGGGACGACGTTCGAGCACGGCGTACGGCCCTTCGTAACGGGGTTGAAGTGGCGCGCGGTGTGCGTCGACCCGGACAAAAACGTGGCTGACGTTGTCGAGCTGAGTGGGCACGAAGATGCGCTTGCCCGAGTCATGATCTGTCCCCTGTATAGGTCGAAGTCGGGCCATTGAATCTCTTAGCGCGGCGACGAGGTCATGCGCCGTCGGTTCGGGCGGCGCCGAGTGAAACAGTTCACCGGGCAGCCGGAGGGATGTCCCGTAAACCAACTCCGCCGGAGCCGCGCCGATGTCCTGCTTGACGGTGTTCCGCAGCGCGAGGAGAACGATCGGCAGGTGTCGTGTCCAATGCGGTGACTCGTATGCGGTGAGTGCCGCCTTGAGCGTCCGGTGTAGACGTTCCACCAAGCCGTTGGCTTGCGGGTGGTATGGGGACGTGCGGACGTGCTGAATGCCGAACGTGGTGTTGAGTGTTCTCATAAGCTCGGACTCGAACTGCCGTCCCTGATCTGTCGTGACGACATCCGGGACCCCGAAGCGAGCGATCCAGTTTGACACGAGAGTGGAGGCGACGGTTTGTGCGCACATACTATCGACGGGCCACGCCTCCGGCCAGCGCGTGTAACGATCGATACAGGTGAGCAGATATTTGGCGTTGTTGGACGTGGGCAGTGGACCTACAAGGTCGAGATGTATGTGTCCGAACCGGCGGTCTGGGGCCGCAAACGGTGCTAGCGGTGATGTAGTGTGCTTGTGAACTTTGGCCCTCTGACATTGTTCACACGTTCGGACCCATCGGCGTATTTCCCGATCCATACCGGGCCAGACGAAACGTGCCTTAACAATTCGGCTGGTGGCTGCGCGACCGCCATGAGCCTGCCCGTGAAGCGTTGTGAAAACTGCGCGTCGGTGGCACTGCGGGACGAGCAGTCTCGTCCGGTTATACGCTACGTCGAAGTAGACGGGCCCGTTCGCTGTCTGGCGCGCTTCGAGGTCTAGTGAGGTTTTTGTGACGCCGGAAATGATGTCCCTGAGTTCTCTGTCGTTCGCTTGGTCGACTGCCCACTGATTGAGGTCCGGCAGGTCGTCTTCGAGAGTGGCCAACTCGAGGCGTGAAAGGGCGTCGGGCACCACGTTACTCTCGCCGCTGACGTGTTCGATGTCGTGGATAAACTGAGACAGGAAAGCGACATGTCGCGCCTGACGGTCGATAAGTTTTTCCGCTTTTTGTGTGAACATAAACAGTAACGGTCGGTGATCAGTCCTGAGAGTAGTGAACCTGCCCTCGATCGAGTGAACAAAATGTCGAACCGCTAGGTAGGCAGCGAGGAGTTCGCGATCATAGGTGCTGTACCGTGTCTGCGCGCCGGTGAGTTTGCGCGAGAAAAACCCGAGTGGTTGCCAGTCGTCTCCGGAGCGCTGTTCGAGTGTTGCACCCACAGCGATGTTCGACGCGTCGGTACACAGGCGCAACGGTGCTTCGTGATGTGGATGCACGAGTCGTGCTGTAGCGGCGAGAGCTTCCTTGCAAGCTTGAAACGCTTCGCGCGCTGTGTTTGTCCACGAGAGTGGGCCGTCGCGTTTCGGAACCAGAGCGGTGATGTCATAGAGCGGTGCTTGAAGTCTAGCCGCGTTCGGGATGAACCGATGGTAAAAATTCAGCGACCCGAGAAAACGCTGCAGCTCCTTTTTGGTGTTCGGCTGCGGCCACTGACGGATGGCACTGACGCTATCCGGGTTCGGGCGTAAGCCCTGCGCATCGACGACGTGTCCGAGAAACGTGAGCGTACGGGCGGCGAAAACGCACTTGGCCGGATTAATTGCAATGCCGAACTTCTCGAACCGACCGAGGACGGTGCGAACGTGTTCGACGTGCTGCTCCGCACTTGCAGACGCGATGAGGACGTCGTCGACATAGGCGAAAACGTAATCGAGCCCGGCGAGAATTGAATTCACTAACCTCTGAAACGTTTGTGCGGCGTTGCGGAGTCCAAAACACATTACCGGAAACTCGAAGAGGCCAAACGGTGTTGTGACGGCGGTCTTGTGGACGTCGCTGGCAGCGATGGGCACCTGGTGGTAGGCACGGACCAGGTCGAGTTTGGAAAAAACTGTTTTGTCTGCCAAGTTCGCCGTGAAATCGTGGAGGTACGGCAGCGGGTACCGGTCCGGAACGGTGACGTGGTTAAGCCGACGGTAGTCTCCACAGGGTCGGTATGATCCGTCTTTCTTTGGAACCAAGAGAAGCGGGCTCGCCCAGGAACTGGCCGAAGGGCGGCAGATACCCTGCTTCTGCATGAGTTCAAAATCGCGTCGTGCGATGATGAGTCGGTCCGGCGGTAATCGTCGCGGGCGGGCGAAAAGCGGCGGACCTGTCGTTTGGAGCACGTGCTCGACTCCGTGAAGAAATGTTTCCGGGACGGGCGACTCGCGTGTCACACTCGGAAACTCTCGGAGTAATTCGTCCCAATCGTGGGTGCGCGTGACGGCGAACAGCGGGGCGCTCGTGGAAACCGCGGAAGTCACTGCACAGGTGACTGTTCGTTTGTCGGTCGGGTCGACAAGGCGATGTCGCCGCACGTCGACAAGGAGGCCGAAATAATGAAGAAAATCGGCCCCGATGATGGCGCGCGAAACGTCGGCCATCTCGAACGTCCAGGTGAACGTTCGTGAGAGGCCGAGGTCGAGGTTGAGCGTCTTGGGCCCAAAGGTTTTTATATGCGTTCCGTTGGCAGCTGTGAGGCGGACGTCGGATGGTTGTCGTGAGCTGTGGTCGTGGGGCATGACCGAAATCTCGGCGCCCGTGTCAATAAGAAACAACCTACCGGAGCGGAGGTCGTTCACGTGTACCCGCGTATTTTTACTCACGGCATGCAGGGCGGGAGTCCTGTCCGTGACGCCTAGTTTTCCGCCAGCGCGGAGGTAACATGGTCCTGCGCCTTTGGCTTGAAATTACACGGCGGGCGGCAATTGCGAGCGCCGTTGCCGTATTTCTCGTGGTAGTAGCACGCCTGTGTTGGTTGCTGTGCGGCCCACTGCGTCGATGAGTGTTGTCGCTGCCGCGGGACGTCCTTCGACGAGTTGACAATCTTTGTCAGCGACTGGACTTGCTGAGACAGCGCTGACACCGCACTAGCCAAATCTGCCATTTGGTCCTTGGAGAAGGCGTCGACGGACTGGGGGCTCGACGCTTCCATTACTCTGTCCGCGCGAGAAGCTAAGGAGTCCAGAGGGGCGTCGAGGCTGGCGATGATGGCCATGACGTTGGACGGCAGCTTCTGTAACCAGAACTCTTTCAGGGCTTCCTCGCCGATACCGGCGGGCATGACGCTGCGCATGTCGCGGAGCAGTTGTGACGGCCTACGGTCGCCCATGCCCCCGGGTTTGACGATCTCTCGGAAGCGAACGGACTTGGGTAGACTGTAAGCGTCGATCAAACGTGAGCGAATTGCATCATACGACGCGGTTGGCCCGAGGAGATCACCGATGGTGCGGACGCCATCTTCGTCCAAAGCACCGATGACGAAATTCACGCGAGTACTGTCGGCGGTCAAGCGGTGGTTCGCGAACACGGATTCCGCGTGTATAAACCAAAAATCAGGCGATTGTTTCCAAAACGACGGGAGGCGTACGTTGGCGATCGCGTTGACGGAAACATCGTTTTGTTTTTGCTCCTCGATCATGGCGGCAAAACGGAACGAGCGGGTACCGGGCGAAATCAACTAACAACGGACGATGCGTATTTCGAAACTCGAGGTCACCAATGTAGCGGTCACGATGACGCGTGAGCGCTAACGCGAATAAATGAGCTCAATTAATATAAAAAGAGTAGATAATAACAAAAAGATTTATTTTGATTAACAAAAAAATGTAGTAAGCAGAAAAGCGCAGAAAGTTCTCGGACGTCTATACTCGGTGGCGTCGTTGAGAGAAGAGGTCGATGGCCGGAGGACGGTCCCGTTGCACGCTGTCGATGGTAGTGGGCGCTTGAGCGGTGTGACCAACCGTCTTCACGGGGCCTGCCGCCACCGGGGAGAAATTATGTGGTGGTGCGCCGCCACAAGCCCTATATATTCCCCACAATTTTTCTAATCACACAATTTTCCCACAGAACAATCGCATAGAACAATAATTGGTTAAATTTGTAAACAATTATTTTCCACAAAAGAAAAAACAGTTCTAGAAATAAATACAAAGACTACACAGTTTTATAATGATAATTTATTTGATTATTGACAATAATTTACATTTACAACCCAAAATAATGTCAAAAAAAAATCGAACATGGTTCGATCGATTTTTTAATTCAGTGTTTTGTTTCTGTATAAAAAATATTAGCATCGTAACCATTATCTCTAGCGCACTAATTACTTTCTAAATAGACTTTATTCAAATGTAAGAAAACTACTACCATCAAAGCACGTAGGTATATAATTTAATAGTCTTTAAACAGGTAGTTAACTATAGTTCAATATTTTTTATGAACTATTTTTTACTGTCATGTGTTTCTGCCATTTTCCAGTATTCGTATACATTTGTAACGACAGCCGCGTGTAGGTAATTTTCATATTTTCACTCGACAATGATCACAATCTATCTTTTTCCGGTTTCCAGAAAACGTTTGACCTCTTTGTATTCGAATCCGTCGTGGGCCGCCTGGTATTCGGTCCATCCGTTCATCTTGAAATATCTCAACTCTGCTTCTTTACTCCGGTCGAGTGGTTGTTTCGTTATCACCGACCTTATGATCGGATAAAGGGTGTCGTACGGATTTGTGTATGACCTTTGCGTGACTGTCCACAGACGGCTCATCAAAGCTAGCACACGGTCACGCTCCCTACGAGATACTTCCAGTGTCTTTTCGTCGTCCAGCTTGAAAGTGCAATACCTAAAAAAAAAAAAACGTGTAAAAACGCATATTTATTATTCTCAAATGGCGAAAAATAAAAACAAACCAATAAGAAACTTTCAACGTAGACAATTATTGAGGAAAAAAAAATATATGTTGTGGTACATATTTTTAGAGATAACCGTCCTTATTTCTATTGTATAAGTATGCATAACAGTATTAATAGGTATTACATAATACCAATGTGTTGTACATACAACAAAAAAAATCCTATAATATAAATTATAAGTATTGAGATATATATATATATTTTTTTTTAAGTACCTACACAAGAGTCTTCTTGACTAATAGTCCGTGGATAACTTTTTTTTTTTTTATAGAATAATAATTAGTCTGAAAATATTTTCCTCGAATGAAAATTATAATGTATACGACCTAGTATATATATAAGCTAAACTAAGTTGTTCACAAAAAGATTTTTGTCATAAATTTCAATGTAAAATAATTTATCGGGGTAACTTATAGTGAAGTGTTCATTTGGCAAAGGTAGGTAATAATAACTACATTAATTTATTATCTCAATAAAAAAATATCGTGTAAGTATTGTGCACGTATTAAATTCATCCGGATAAAGAACTGATGAAAAACGGGCCTTGATTTAACAAATCGAATAAAAGTCGGTACCTTATCATGTATTCCGTTAACATGAGAGATTTCTCGTAAGGATTTACAAGGCCGTCTGGATGTTGACAATAGCTCAATCTATTGATCTCGTCTGTGGGGATACATATCTTAGGTTTTGGGTCGAATTCGTTTCTTGTGCGGCTTAAAGACATGGTTAATTCACGGATTTTTCTATTTTTCAAGTTCAGATTTTTTTCCACGGCAAATGAATTAAATAATTATACCATTGTTATGCGTCAACTTGGAAACCAGTCAATAAAATTCATTGCTAATGGTTATAATGATTTATGTTCTATCGTACAACTATGCGGTTTTCCAGAAATCAATAGTTTATTTTTACTTTGATAAACACGTTAAAAATGATACCTACTATTGGGTTTATCGAGAATTACTTTGTTTGATGAAATAGAATAACACAAAGGGCATAGTGTTGCTATATAAAGGCCAAACAAGCTTTTTAGAACCGAGGTCAAAGAAAACAATTATTCATTGTTGGACCTTTCAAAAGTGGGATATTTAATTTGATCTGTGGCAATTTGTCTGTATAAATGGTAACTTCAATTCTCTCTAATGGCGGCGGCATGTGTACACTTAGCAATCTAGTTTATTCTATAAATCTGTGCATATACTAGCTTGTGTACGTAAAGTGAAGTAAACAGAACGACTAAGACTAGTGTCAAAAGACAAACACAAAAGTCCTCATCGTTAAACGATTGGTACAACATAAGCACGTTTTTTACCCTCTTTATTAAAATATGATTGTTTTTTTTTTTTCAAGCTAATGTTTTCATTATATTTAATGGTATTTGTTGTTTCCGGACACACTGACTTTAGTCACATTAAAACTACTATAGCCACCCCCCGGACCTAACCGTAATGGCCTGCTTAATTCACACCGTTCAAACGGTATACGCCGACACAATGAACGTCTAGGAGCCGTAATGGAAAAAACGCAAGAAACAACACACCGCATTTTGGAATACCGTATTTGCCGCCGCCTTTGGGAACTCATCTCATCCTTGCCGACTATCTCTAAATGGCTTCCGTTTCGGTGGAGTACGTACGCAAGTAACTAACATTAACGTTTATGTAGGCGTTATAAGATCGGTAAAGAAAGAGTTTGAAAATCTCACTGTTACACACAATCAAATCACACGGATATCAATACTATGATTTTGTTTCAATCTCTACTAGCACACGAGAATAATAATTAATGTCATTAACTTAAATAAAAAAAGTTAATAAAAAAAATATTAACATTCAAGGACTAGGGGCAATCTGACAAACTTAAAAATCCTTCTTTTGATATTTTGTGATACATTTTTTTTTTTTTAGTTATTTGTTTTACCAGCTTAAATGAGCTGTAACTTGATAAAAAAACTATTATAATTTTTGAAATATCAAATGAGTGATTATTATTTGTCATATTTCAGCTTAAAGTTTTTTTTTTTAAAAGTGTAAAATTATTTTATTAGTTTCCAAGTTGGAATATTTTTAAGAAAAAAATTCAAATTTTTCAACAAAAAAAAGGAAGCACTTAAAAGGTTAAGCTAGAGATTAAAAATGTTGGTGTTTCTTATTTGAATAGGCTACTTTTAATTGAGAGAGGTTAAGTAAAAAAAAAAATGTTGTCATTCACATTAGACAGGTAGCCTACTTTATATAGAAAAAACTGTTAAGCAAACTTATGGTTAAATATATAGTAAAGATATAAAATATACTTGAATCCTAAACCATAAAAATTATACACTTCTTGCGTAAGAAGTGTATAATTTTTATGGTTTAGGGTTCAAGTAGATTTTATATCTTTACCTTCTTTGTGTATTAAAATTAATTAATTTTAAAATCATAGTATCAGTGAAATTAGTTTATTTTATAAAAATGTAATATGCAACACAATTCTAATTAAAGTAAAATTCTTATTAAATTTGATGACATATTAAAAATTAAAATTTTTTTTTACAAGTAAAATTAACTTTACATAATAACACTACTTATTTTATTCGCTGCAATCATTTTTTTTTTTACAATTAAATATGGATAAGATATATAATAAAGTAAATCTACTAATTTTTTATAATATTACAACATTCAAGTGTCTGTAAGTCAGTTAAATCTTTAAGCAAACCTAAGATCATAGAAAATACTACATTTAACATACTTCGTAAAACATTATGACTATTATACCTTTATGTATAAACTATTTTTATAAACTGTGAATTTTTTTTTTTTTTTTTAATGTAACACCGTAGGCTGGGCACAATGAACAAAATCGAAAAAGCAATTTTGGTTTTAGATACTTAACGAACATTTTATAACATAAATTAGTATGAAATTAGTATTTGCTAAATAATAATTATTATATATTTAGGAATCAAAAGGGGTGGTTCATGTGTAGAAACATGGTTTAAAATATATTGATCAGATACAGAATAAATAGAAACGTTTGTCTTCTGGAAACTGTAATTACCAAATATTATTGATATTGTCTACCATTTTCATAGTGTACTTCAGCTATAGTGCCCAGTTTGTTAACGTGTACACGAAAAACCGTAACTCACCTCTTTTTCCATCATTATGATCAAAACAATTCTCAAAATCATCATTGATGTACAAAGAATGGCCGTCGCCTGTTTGTGGTATTTCACGATGACAATCGACAAGTAACTCATCGTTGACCGTTTCGATAATGATTCGATAACAATAAACCGTGGCCGTTGTCCGATAGATTTATGTGAATTGCACCAGTCGTATTTGAACGTAGTCAATTTCCACGTTGCTATGTTTGAGCGAATCAACATTCAACAGGTAATTGAAATATTTTTATTGCATTGATAACTACGGTATGCGGTTAACTATGGCAATACATTTTTATAGATAGGCGGTCAACACTAATTGTATCCTCTCTAATATTTAACTATCTATATTTTACTCACTATGACAACGGTTCTTCGACATCTGAGAAGACAGCTAACCTCAACACTGTCGGCAACTCAACTAAGACCCTAACACTATCCAGTGTGTCTGTAACTAATACCATCTATCTTTTGTCTTATGACAATATGCCGTTTAAAAGATGTCAAGCAACTGTTTTGATTTTGTCCATGATCAGCAACGTGTATTTGATATTACGGACAGGAGAAAATGATATTTTTTAAATCCTTATAGTACCTAATGCCATTGTAAACCCTTGCAGTAACTAAAGTGTTATTAGGTAAATGACACAGAACAAAATTGTATTTGAACAGCATCACATCATGATTATTTTAACTAGGTTCAACGCATGCATACTTATACCGAAGATGTGTCTGTATACATAGCGGATTTAATTTACTTATGATGTTTGCAAAAAATCTTTGACTACAACAATTAACAACAAGGCATCTTTGTACCAAATCAAAAATGATAGTTTTATTTTTGTTTTCACCAATTGGCTAAGCGCACACAGGTGGTAGATGATAATTGATAACTAAAAAATCACTGATAAACAATTATTACAAG